GATTTTTAATAAAAAATAATCCAAATTTAATTTAAATTTTTGACAGTAAACTAGACTCTAAAATTTATAAATTTTATTGATAAAATCAAACAAAACAATCTAAAATTCTATAACTATTCCCAAATATTGTTATTACCCTTAACTTCTTCATAATTCTTACCTTCAATATCACTACTATTAATCACTTCAAAATTTTCATCATTTTTATCTGTTGGATTTTCATTCAATGACTTATAATCGAAAACCTGATCATTCTCTGTTTTATTCATTTTGACCGAAATACCATAATACTTAAATGCCTTTACTATCAACTGGAAGTCAACTTCCTCCCACGAATCTTTTACCCATTGTGCAAGAGTAGCATACGATGGCTTTCTAAAATGCCTAGAGATGTTAATTGATGGATCGTAGTAGACATCCACTCATTATAACAATGACACATCTAAAAATTTAAACTTTATTAATGCTGTATACTCAAAAATCAAAATATTTCAATTATATACCTTATCCTTAAAGCTCTTATTTATCATGACATCTAGGGGCTGTAGTTTACTAGTTAACCCTCCGAGAATTACTGCGAGGTGGGTATAATTTTCTTTAAATTGATGTTTAACAGAATTCACTAAATAATCTCTAAAAGAGTTCAAAACAAAAAGAGATTGCAGTTTTACTTCTTCACTATGTTTGCTCTAAACGTTATTAATCCAAAAGTGCATCTCATTCTCATTACACTATCTTTTTTTATTTACTCTTATAATAACACTTTGTGGAAACACATCACGAGAAATAAGCTTTAACTTAAAAATGTATACAAGCGAAAGCTTTATTCTATTAGCGAGACATCTAAGGATTATGGTAAAATTTGTTCTTTCATGCCCAGTAGTTCTGATACCTATGATTTTTGATCCATGTTTTTCAATAGTAACTGGGCTAGATACATCAAATAATAAGGATGTTTCGTCTATGTTACCTATACAACTAGCAGAAAAGCTATATTCCCAATATTTAAACAAAATGTAACTTAAGAATTCACTTTGTTTTTCCTCAAGGTCAGTTGGAAGGTGCTGTGAAACTGTTGTACACCTATAATTTAAAAAACTATGATGATACAAAAACTAATTCAACCAGTTTTTAGAAAACTTAAAGGCACCAATATCAGGATAAATATCTTTAAATTCACTAGTTTGTGCTAAGATCTTGGCCTTTTTCTCAACCATATTTCAGATGATAGCATTTTGCTCTTTATAGCATTCAATAATCCATTCAGCAAAAAAATTTGAAATCGAACCAAAGTAGGTTTGCAAATAGCTAGACAAAGAGCAAGAGCTT